TTAAACCCAGATTGTCTAGGTGTACGGTATAATTCGGTCGGTTTATACCAACTGAAACGTTTTTTCTTGTTTTTTTCTTTTCATGTTAGCCAATTATTCGTCCAAGGTTTTATAAAACGGTTTTTGTTATCAGAGCGGATGCTACATTAATCAATGTAACATTAGAACATAAGATTGTAACCTATTCAAAATTAAATCAAACACACCTGAGCCAGGGGAGAATGTTGGTCAGTGGCGCACTTTTTTCTTTTGTATTTCACAAAAAAGTTGTTTTCAAAAATTATCAGATGCATGTTATTGCATCTCAAAGATACATATTTAAGCTATATGTAACAATAAACATACCTGTTGAAAACCAAAAAGTTATCAATCACTGTTGCATCACCCAAGAGTAGAGTGGCTCACTCAACGTTCGAAAGTGGCGCTAACATTTTTGTTTGAAAAATGTATTTAAATTAAAAATTGGAAATGTATTAGAATCGGAAATAAAAATTTAAGTAAAAAACAAAACTTAAATTGTAAGAGAAATCCATAGCAGTTTGAGTCAATAAAAAAAACTTTTAATGAATATTAATTGAATCGAAAACTACTGGAAACGACAGAGAAGCCTGTTGTCGACTAGTTCCTCTACAGCATCTAGCTTCCGGCAGAAAATATTTAATATCAACTTATTTTGACTTCTGCGTCAAAATCAACTTATTTTGACTTATTTTGACTAAAACAGAATCCTGTAACTTAAGATTCCATGATAAAATTAAATGCATATCAAAGTTTATTTATTTAAGTTAACGAGTTTAATCGTTCGAAGTTTAAAAAAAAGAATTTATTTGGATGTTAATCCAAATCTTTATTATGCTTCAACTGAATTACAAATTAAACTTCAACTTAATTTTACAAATCGGTTCTATTTATACTAATTCATTGATTACTTTGCATTTTAAAAGTGTGAGAAATAATTTTGTCAAATATGCAAAGTAAGCAACAAGAATTAGAATTAAAATTTACTTAAAAAATAAAAGTTTCAAGTTACAATTTTAAAATAACGAAAAAATTATAAATTTTAACTTTAAAAGATATGTTTGTGAGAAAATTTCTGTAAGAAAATTTCCATTGATACGTCAGCATTTTTGGTATTGCGTGTGTACTACGTTATGTATAATTCTATCGTTAACTCTTCCCCTCTGAAAAATCTACGGCCCGTGAATCGATGTTTGATCTTGGTTAAATGCTTTTTGGCTCCGTTATTATATCATTAATATGAATTCTGGTTGATTCTACAACTGGTGGTATCCAAGTTGAACGTTTCGCCATAAGTTTTCTTGCTGTCAGTATTGCTGCTATGAAGAGAATAACCGATGTTATACTGATGTTTGTGGTAATTTCAATTATATCATTTGTGATTAATTTCAGTAGTTGTTTGACGTTGTTGAGGTGTAAGAGTAAACTCTTATTGTTTCATTCTGATATTGTACTAGAAAGTTTCCTGATAGAGTTTTTGTTTCATTCCCCCCAGTGACATTACCGTTAAAGTTGTTAAGAAAAAATGTGTCGTCATTTATTACTTCAATTTGTTCCTGGTTGTTATATTGGTATTCGCAGTTCTTATGCGAGCCTTTAGTTAGTTGGTTAGTACAATGGTCTTCCTTTAGTTTCTGTAGCTGTAAAAATTTACATGCCATGATCTTTCCATAGTTCTGACAAGGTTCTGTAATACCGAATGTTTCTCCTTTGGTTATGAGTAGATCCTTAAATTCCAAATCTATTTTTTTTGTGTTGTCTGTTGTGGATCGAACTTGATTGTGGTTATACTCAATTCTACTGGTTTTTGGCACTGCGATAACATACAGCATTATTGTGCCTTTACTAATAATTTTAGGTGTAGAGTATTCTATGGCCTCGATTATATTACAATATGGATATGTTTATAATCTTCGCTTTTGCCAGTTGTATTGTATTTATAACTTCTTTCAATTTTTCTTTGACAGTGCCTAAACGGTTGTATAAAACTTGCTCATATTGTGTATCTTCATGAAGTTTACTAGATATTTCGCTGTAACTTCTTATAATTTCTTGTGTCGTATTCATTAGAACATCGTTTATTTTATACTGTTGATTGTTGTTTTCCACTATGGTATTTTGGTTTCTAACAATTTCGTCCCAGTCTGTATGATCTGGAGATCCAGCTGACCATTTCCATGCGCTGCCTAACCAGTTAATGGAGCGCCTCGATCTCTTCGGTTCATCTATAAGTTCCGCCATTAGCTGAGCTGGGGTTTGAGTTTATTTTTTGTAGTAACTTGCTGTACTTCTTTTGAAACCAATTCTAAGACTGTTTGGTAGCCTTCTAGATATATTTTGTTGACTAAATGAAAATTGCCGTTCAAAATGTAACCAACGTCCTGTTTGATGGTGACTAGCTGCGTGTCATATTTGTAAATTTGTAAGGGTGTTGCTAACGCAAGCATCCCTAGTCTGAAAAGAAAAAAAAAATGATTAATTAGTTGGACTGGAGTTTTTTAAGTGGGCCTTATCAATTCTGCGGCCTGATTCAGTTGTGATGGTAACTCGATTGTCTTTCGCTACTACTTCTTTTTTGAACAAGGGCTTTGTTTTTTCCTTTATTTGTTTTATTGCGGCATAAACTGTTTCTCCAGCTTGGTATGATTTAGGTGCTTTTCGTTTTCGTTGCTCTCTGCCAACTTTCATTTTTTGACTCTTTTTAATACGCTCTACTTAGCCCTCATTGACCTCTGATTTAAAATTCACTAAGTTTTGGTAGTTTATCCGTGGCGATCTTCCGAAAAAGATATCATTTCGTTTTTTTCCTGCAACTGAGTGTATGGAATTATTATATCGGTCTACTGCGATGTTTATTATTTCTTTCATATTGAGACCCTTAAATTCTTCTTGAAGGCATTTTATAATTTCAATGATCGTGGAATGAACTCTTTCAACTGCTCCATTGACTTCGCTTCTTTGTGACAAAACCTGTTTCGTTGTGTATCACTATTATTTTCGGTGCTGTGAAATAGTGAATAATTTTGATGAGTTTATCCCGTATTTGAAGAATAGATCTATCTTTTATACGGAAGAATTTTGTGAATTTTCGAGAATTTGTCGATACAACTTATGAACTTCTCTTGTTTAATTTCGATTATGTCAATATGTAGAGTTTCGGCTGGATAGGTTGGAACCGGTTTCTAATAATTGTGGATTGTTAGGATGGCCAGGTTATATTTGTTAATATTGCAAATATCACAATTAGATGCGTATTTTTTTATTCGACTAGCCATCTGTGGAAAATAGTATTTCTCCAGTAATTGCTGTTTGTTTTCTTGCCAATTCCTGTGTGCTCTTTTATGTTCCTCTTGAATAACTCTAAACTGGTTCTCTTCATTTCTGGGATCTTCAACTATCATTTGGGTTATTCTTATTTTGTAACTCTGGAAGGTTTCTTGAAAGACTTCTTGTAATTGCTGAATGAATTGTTCCAGTATTTTGATACCATTGATAAGTGTTGGTATTAATCTTTCCTTTAAAATCCTTGTTAATGCAGCTTTGTCTATTCTTTCTAATTGCATAAAACGTCGATGGAAATTCGGGTGTGGTTGTTCATACCCGTACAGGTCCTTCCTTTCACTTATGATCAATTGGTTTCTGAAGACATTTATGGGACCTTTGTGGTGAGGTCTTAAATTGCTGATACCTTCTTCGGCAGTGTGAGCTGTTTTAGTCGATGGTGAGGTTATAGCACCTGAAATAGGTAACATATTTAGTTCTAGCGGCAACCTTGAGAGCGTATCAGCTACTTTGTTCGTAGTTCCTGGTTTATACACAAGTTCGTAGTTATATTCTTCGATGCGAGCTTTCTAACGTTTCAATTTCGATTTGCTATTACCGTTGTTCATTATGAATGTTAAAGGCTGGTGATCGGTCATTATTTTAATTTTTTTCGCACCATATAAGTAACTCTTAATTTGTCTAGAGACCATGCCATCGCAAGAAGTTCCTTCTCGTTTGTTGCGTAAGCCTCTTCCGTCTTGTTGAGAGATCTAAATATGTAAGTTATCGGATGGTCTTTTCCAACTTCTCCTTGGAAAAGTACTGCGCCAAGGAGAACCTCCCGGTGGTGAGTATAAAGGGCTTCTGAAAGGGAAAATAAGTAGTTCTGCTGATGTTAATAGCTCTTTCTATTTTTGGAATGTTTTTAATTCTTCTTCGTTCAAGCTTATTTTGACCTTTTTTGACTGATTCGCTTTGATCTGGGCATTTTCTCCCCGTGTTTATTTGGTTAAATGTTTGGCTATAGCGGCAAAATCTTTTATGAATCGTCGGTAATAGGATGTAAAGCCGAGAAATGCTTTGAGGTCTTTGAAATTTTCTGGTGGCTTTATTTTCTGGATGGCTTCAATCTTTTTTGGGTCGGTTCGAATTCCTTCAGTTGTTATTATAAATCCCAAAATTTCGGTTGAACCTTTTAAAAACTCTGTCCTGTCACGGTCGCCAGTTAACGAGTCAGTTAAGCGAGTCAAGTTTGTTCAGGCAGTTTGGATTACTTCCATTTTATTTATTTAGTTAATTAATTCACTTACAAAATGTAAAATCCAATGTTCATCGGATTGTAAAGAGGTTACTCTTGGATTGACGTTTCCTTGAAGATTATGTAATTACCCTATTAATGGTACGATGAGTATCACTGCTGTGCAGGATCCTTTGACTATCTTCTCACGGGTATAGTGGCTGATATCTTCTTGTTTGTGACAAGCTCTGAACGGTCCTATGTTCTCACGGGTACAGTGGTGTTGAGCTTGTCCTGTCACGGTCGCCAGTTAACGAGTTTAATCGTTCGAAGTTTGAAAAAAAGAATTTATTTGGATGTTAATCCAAATTATTAAGGGTTGGTCCTAATTTTTCTAACCCCTTTAAAGGAATCAGCAGTGAAGGTTAAGAAAGCTTTAAAGGAGTGTAAGTTTCTGGACTTCAACATCAACGACTTGACGATGTCGAATCCATCAGTTCCGAAACTGGTGTGTCTACCAAAGATTCACAAGGAAGGTGAGCAGTTCAGGGAGATCATTTCCGCTAATGGCGCCCCAACATACAAAATTGCGAAATGGCTCGTGAAAAGATTTGGGGAAATGGATTTCCGTTCCTGTTCTATCAAGAATAGAGAGGAATTTATAGAAAAAACGAAAGGCTTAAAGATTGGTCCTGATGAATTAATGGTATCGTTCGATGTCAAAGCGCTCTTTCCCAGTGTTCCAGTTAACGAAGCTCTTGAATATTTGAAAGTATGGTTATCAACACAAGAAGGAGAAACAGAAACAGAAAATTGGAACAACAAAGTAAAGGAATACCACAAATTAGCAAGACTTTGCATGGAGGAGAATTACTTCGAATTCAGAAACGAGATGTACAGAACAACATCGGGAGTATCGATGGGCAATCCACTTTCACCATTTATCGCAGAATTATTTATGTCCAAATTGGAAAAAAGAATGGAGGAGGATTCTCTGATGCCTAGAGTATGGATGCGGTATATTGATGACGTCTTCGCGATAGTGGACAAGGAAGAACTGGAGAATATAAACAGATGCATCAACAAATTACATAGAAACATCGAATTTACATTCGAAATTGAGGAAAATGGAGTGTTACCTTTTTTGGACATATTGGTGAAAAGAAAATCTGAAAAAATTGGATTCAAGATATATAGGAAGAAAACAACAACACAAAGATGCATTCCACGGGACTCGTACCATTCAACGAAACATAAAATGGCGGCGTTCAACTCTATGATCCATAGAATGCTAACCACACCGATGGACAGACACGACTATAGATCAGAAGTAAACTTCATTTTGGACACGGCTGTGAAGAACGGTTATTCTACTGAACGTATTAACAAACTCATTGGGAAGAAAAAACGAAAAATTGAGCAGGAGAATATGAGCACATTGTTTAAACAGAACAGGATATTGGAAGAACAAAGAACAACATGGGCATCTTTAAGTTATGATCATCACTGTACAAACTTGATAAATAAACAACTAAGGAAACACAATATTCGGACATCGGAAACCATTAGTAAATATCAACTTGGGAGTTTGTTAAATTCGGCTAAGGATAAATTGAAGATACATGAAAGATGCGGTGTGTACAAAATCAATTGTAATAATTGCGATAAATTTTACATAGGACAAACGAAGAGACCCGTTACAACAAGACTTAAGTAACATTTAAGTGAAATAAAACGTGCAAGGAGAGTAGGATTTAACCGGATTTTCGATTCTATGGTTGCAAAACACATTTATGAAACGAACCACACAATCACGAAAGATAACTTAAAGGTAATAAAAGAGGTAAAAGGAAAACATAGGAGAGAAGTTCATGAAAGCATGCAGATATACAAATCAAACAAGGACTGCCTACTAAACGCGGACGAAGATAACGCGGCTACTTGGCTCTTTAAATTAATTATTTGACCAGTTTTAAGGTTTAAAACAGGTATAAATTTAGTTTGTAAATAATATAAAAAAAAAAAAAATAAATAATCAAATTCTAGATTAAGTCAGGTAGATTATATTAAGTCAGGTATAATATTCCTAATTTTAATAGATTTCAATTTTTATTGTTTGTTGTCTTAATTAGAAGAAAATCAGCTTTGATAAAGTGCGTATGTAGCGCACGAAATATATTAGCGAAAAATAAAAGTATTTTATTCCGAATAAAAGGAAGTTTTCTTTTCACACCAATAAAAAAAAAAAAATTATATTTCGGAAAAATTATCAACCATTGAAAAAAAAAATTTTTGAAGATAGTAGAATCCAACCACATACATTTGCAGATTAATAAGTTTTGAGTAAATATGACCGAAAACGTTTTGTTAGTAATTCAGCACTCATATTTTAAATTATTTATACTCTTATTTATTAGAGTATATTATTTATACTCTTGAAAAAAATGAGCTTAAGCCTTTATGTAAAGAAATATTTAAGATAAAAAAGATATTTTGAACAAAATGCGCAATTGCTACCTTGTTATTGGTTTTGTTATATACAAGTATTGGGTTTTGATCAATTATATACAATATTGATCAATTATATCCAAGTATAAGAAATATCAATTATATACAAGTATTGGGTTTTGTTGCAACTAAAGTTGCAAATAGTGTTTTTTTTGCTATTATTTTCATCATAAACAAAAGTATAAATGTTTTTAACGTCCATTTTATTCAATTTCATTTAAATTGAACAATAACTTAAATTAAGTTTTGGTTATGGTATATAAAAACATGAAAAAAATTGTAACTCTTTTTAATATCCCAAGTAACAATTTCCAAGAGTAATGCCCAAAAAAATTGACCCAAAATTACATAAAAATCTCATACCACCCTCGAATACTCTCATAATTTTTTTTTCTTTTCTTTGTTTTTATGCAACTCTCGTAAGGTTCTTATTTAAAGTCTTTAAGCATTTAAAGACTTAGCACTAGTGCTTGATTTTTTCGATACCCGATTTACTTTAATTTTACGTCTCCACTACGTATAAAACGCTTTAGGAAAAGTGTACAATGTCAAGAGCTTTTAATAAACTTTTTGGAATTTGATACTTTGTAAAATTTACGTCGTAAGCACATTATTGAAGTCACCGTACCTTGTCATATAAATGTTGTCAGAAATAACCGATAAAATAAACTAACATATATTTTCAGCAATAAAGTTCTATTTATCAAGTTTTTTTTCTTAAAATGCAGCATAATGAAATGCACAATTATAGTTTTATTTTAAAACAATAAAGCTTAAGTTGGAATTTATGCACATTAGTACATTTTTTTTTTGCTAAACAACTCTTAAATTTTAAAATTTAAGTAGAAAAAAAGAAATAAGATATTATAGGGTTAAAAAATATGTATAAACATTTTTTAAATATTAATTATTACCGAACGTATTGTGTATAAAATAGGTAGATTATGTGATGGCAAAAAATTTTGCATATCGAGTTTTCGTTGGGAATGGACTTCTCCATAATAGGGAAGTGTAAGTAAACTATTTTTAGCAACCTGTCGGTCTGCCGGTCTGTCGGTCTCTGTAATTTTATATGTAAGTTTATTTAGACCATGACACGGACTGATCAACTTTTGTGATAATATATCAGTTATCATATATCTGTTTTACATATTTGCCCATTTTGAAGAAAATGTTCAACCGATTTACTTGTAATTTTATATATAAGCTTCACTAGACCAACCGCGAAACCTCCTTACTTTTGGAAGAAATCAGGCCTCACCAACTGGACGTTTACTGGAGGCCAAATATACATTTTTGCGTATATAAAGAGAATTGATCAACCGATTTCATTGAAATTTTATATTTAAATTTTTCGTACTGAAACAATGAACATATAAATTTTTTTGGAAAGATCAGGGCTTGAACGCTGATCTGCGGGCCGATTTTACATTTTTCACCATATCTACGGAACGAATTGATGGAATTTTTTGAAATTTGATATTTGAGTTCTGGTTATTACCAAAACTAACTGGCGTGCATTTCAGGGAATTCGGATAGCACAAAACGAAACTGTACTAAGAGCCAAATTTACATTTTTTTAGGTATGTTAACTATAAGCTTACAAATGTCCTAAAAATTTGAAAGAAGTATTTAACAGACATTTTTTTAATATTCTGTAACACTTCCACTTAACTACACAATACACAATGCGGTCGGTTATGATGTGCTGACCACATCAGATTTTTTTAGTTGGCGTTGCTTTTTTTCGAGCTACAATATCAACTTTTATCAGCAAAAAAATTATTTTAATTTCCCAAATTTATAATTTTATAATATTAAATTTTTGAATACAAATATTTATTGATTACATATCACATATGTAAACATTATGTATATTTTGTTTCATTTTTGTTAAAAAAAATAATTATTAAAATTGGAGTAGATATCTTTTTTATAAAGTTCGGAGTAAGACCGATATATTTATTCAACAATTTATTGCTTTCTCTTTCTAGTAGCACTATTATAAGTGGCTTGTGAGAGTTTTCGTAATTCTCATACTAGTTTTGGTATGAGAGTTATATGCTGTAAAAACTCTTTTAATGGGAGTTTAACTCTCATTAGAAGAATTAATAACTCTAGTAATTGCGCTTTTTTGCTCTTATAAAGATCTCATTAGGATCTTCTACAAGACTGAAATTATAAGAGTAATATTCTTTAAGAATTCTCAATATAGCTCTACAAGAGTCTTATGAGATAAAAATTGTTATAATAAGAGATAATAAATTGGTACTGAACTTGTTTTATAAGAAAGAAAGTTAAGTACAAGTAATTTATTCTAAATGCCGGTATAACTTAATTTGGATATAGCAGAGTTATAAATAAACTTAGCTTAATATTTTATTTAGCTTATAACATAATCTACAACTTTTAAAAGCACTACAACGTTACATGAAAAATATTATAATTTGTAAGTATTTTTAAGTAATGATTTGCTTGTAGATCATTAAGTAATGAGTAATTTAGAGAATGCAATAGAAAGCTGATAAGCGTTTCAAGGAAAATTTTCAATAAAAAACTTGAAAATAACATAATACTTTATTCCGTGTTTTATGTACTTTTTAAATGTTAGATATTCTTAGAAAAACAAATTAAAATACTTGGAAAAATGAACCAGGGACCGATCTAACATTTCTTACCACATCTAAGAAACAAATTGAAAGTAAATAGAATGTAAATAGAATGTAGAACAACGTTCTACAAAATCAAAATTTATTTCTACGTGTTGTACAAGGACTTCAAAAATATTGAACGCATTCTTATACCAATCGTGTTTTTTGTTTTGTGCTAGGCTCTTAAATTATCTAATATATTATTTATTTCTTATTTTCATGCTAAGATTCCAAAATTATCTAGGCTTTATAATAAAGAAGAATCATTGATAAAATCAATGAATAAATTTATTGCTAAAGCAGCGTTTTTTGAATTGCTGAATAAAATTCAAATTTTTTTTCTGAGCTTTTCTTAGCTGTCTTTCTATATCTGTCTTTCTATCTTTTCTATCAGATTAGCCATTTAAAATTAAGCATTTATCTACGATTTATTTAGTTTTCAATTTCATAGCTATTATGAGCTAATTTTAATCTTTCACAATTCATACAATTATTCCAATTTACTTTTCTATAAACATAAAACTATCGTTTTCTAAATTATCAAAAATTTTACGTTTAATCACAATTAATCGATCAATTACAAATTCTAAGGCTTTTGAAAATTTTAATTTATCCTACTGACGTTCCACATAATTCCTTAATTGCAAACATTTGGAACTTATATACAAGTGATTTTATTAATTTGGTAAAGCCATAAAATGGCTACTGAATAAATTACCTACTCTCAAGGTGTTACCGATCTTTAAAATCTATCAATATTTCATGATAAAAATATATTTGATAAAATTTTAAATTTACAAATACAAAGTATTTTGAAACAACATTTTACGGATACTACAATCCAATAAAACATGGGATTCTGTTACAAAAAAACCTTTTTGTGTTACAAATGAAGGTTTTTGATACACTTAATTATATACTTATACACAAAAGGTAAAATTTTGATTCTGCTACGACTTTTTAATCTGTTTTTTTTTTTTTTAAGTGAAATAGCAGGGGCCCAAAACCGCACTGTCACTTCCTAGTGGTGGGCCCCGGTAATGGCGGAGCATAAAGGGGTGATTGAAACGATCAAAGTTACGTTCGTGTCGTGTTCATGTTTCGCGGCGAGCCTCTTACTTACTTACTCTTACTTACGGTAGGGCAGGACAAAATAAAAACCCAATACCCACCGCGGCAATGACGAGCACTTCAGGCCAATCAAAAGAGCCAAAACTCATTGGAAAGTCTGAAGTCGCTCCGAAAATGGCGGCAAGGGAAACGGAAGGATCATCGACCAGCACGCCAAATACAAGCGTCCCGGGTGAACCCGGGTGAACTTGTAAATGTCTTCTAAATTTTGCTGTAGAAGATTAGAAATAGTGCTCTCAAGTTTTCCCCGCACGATGAAGGCCACATCGTCGGCATATCCCCAGACACGCGCCCCGGAGCCCCTGAGAGCAGCGATTAGATCATCCACTACAATGGACCACAGGAGGGGCGAAAGAAGGTGAGGGAGGTGGCAGTTGGCTGCTTCCTTGATATAGAGGGAGCGTGGCACAAACGAGGGATTGATGCGACGACGAGCAGATGGGTTAATCGGATGCTACAGGATAGGATTATTAAGTCCACCATAGCTGACGATATACTCTTCATCTCCGCTGCAAAAGGATGTCCGCAGGGCGTGGTTCTTTCGCCCCTGCTGTGGTCCATTGTAGTGGATGATCTAATCGCTGCTCTCAGGGGCTCCGGGGCACGTGTCTGGGGATATGCCGACGATGTGGTCTTCGTCGTACTGGGAAAACTTGAGAGCACTATTTCTGATCTTCTACAGCAAAATTTACGTGTTGTGGAATGGTGGTGCAAAGGCGTTGAGTTAAATATAAATCCAAGCAAGAGCACTTTAGTCGCCTTCACCAGACGCAGAAGCAGGGATAGATTAACGAGCGCAATTCTGTTTGGTGAACGTATTAGCTACTTTAGGGAGGTGAAGTATCTGGAGGTAACTCTGGATGATCGTCTCTCTTGGAATACCCATATAGATAGAGTTATCGGGAGAGCTACGGCGGCCTTGTGGACGTGTAGGAGCTTCATCGGGGGAACCTGGGAAATTAGTCCCAGAATAGCACTGTGGCTATATACGGCCCTTGCTAGGCCCATCGTCACCTATGCGTCGATTGTATGGTACCGTGAGCTGAAAAAGCTACAGAGGCTGGCCTGCCTGGGAGTGACCGGGGCAATGCGGACGGCTCCCACCGCTGCATTGAAGGTGATGATCGGATTGCCGCCACTGCACCTCCACATATTGAAGGAAGCTCGGCTAGTGACTTACCGACTTCTCTCTGGCAAGGACGGGGCAGGGCTAAAGTTGGCCCACTGATCTCACAGAGGCTTCATTGAGAGCGATCCGATTCTAAGAATAACCATGTCGGATACCTGTCTGCCGCGGTACAACTTCGACCACAAGTACAGGGTTCTGTTTCCTGATCGATGGACGTGGGATTGGGGTGGTCCGGTACTTAGGTCGGGTTCGAGCGTGTGGTATGCGGACGGGTCCAAAACGGAGTCGGGTGTGGGTTCAAGCCTATACGGTGTTCGCCCGGACACGCGTGTATATGCAACCCTTGACCCGTATTGCACAATGTTCCAGGCCGAAATACATGCAATATAGATGCAATGCACTTATGGAATTGGCTCATTTGGGTGCCGGGCAATAGTGGCCATGCGGGCAACGGAGTTGCCGATGAGCTGGCGCGGAGGAGAGATCAGGGGCTGACTTTGTGCAGCCGCTGCCTTTCTGCAGTCTGCCTTCTTCCGTCGTGGGGGCCAGGCTTGCCTGCCTGCTCGAGGCGGAATGCCGCCGTCACTGGCGGGACACGAAAGGGTGCCGTCATGCGAAAGTGTTTCTTTCGGCGTGCTCCAGCGGATTCACCGCAGAGTTACTGGGGATGGGCAGGAGCCGGGTTCGCACTATTGCGAATTTCTTCACGGGGCACTGCCCAGTGAAATACCACCTGCATAGGGTTGGGAATTCGGGCTCCCCCCTGTGCAGATTTTGTGGGGGTGGCGATGAGACCGCCGTGCACATTCTCTGCGACTGTCCGGCACTGGCTGTTCGGCACTGGCTGTCCGTTGGATGTCTTGGACAAGGGTCCCTAAGTGTTCAGGAACTGTTGTCCAATTCCCTTAGGGATATCTCCGGCTTTGGGATTGTGACGGGGATATTATAGACGGGGGAGTGGGGGGGGGCTACAATAAGTCAAAGATGGCTGCGGTGGCTTGGGGGGTTACTCCTGCCCCACTCGGTTCCCTTAGAATCTACAGAATCTAGTGAAATAGCAAGGCTTAGCAACGTATTTGTGATAGCAAAATGTGTATTTTCACAAGTGGAAGAAAACCTTATCATTATCATGCGCACGAATTTATTGGTATTCCAATACCAAATAAGAAACAATTTGTTATATCTGCTATAAATATTTCTCAATTCCTAAAAAAATATTTTGATTCTGACTAGAAAATATTTGTATATGAAATTGTTGCAGTTTATTCAGAAACATCTTTTACAAAAACAAATAGATAGTTTTTTCAAAATAAAAATGAATTTGAAAACGGTATATGTATTTCTAAAATTGTTTTAAATTATATTTAAAATAATTTTAGAAATACATAAATAAAATTTAAAAAAATTTAAAATAAATTTAAAGAAACTTTTTTGCAAATTAACTATAATGGCAATATGGTTGTCATAATTTTAGCTATAGTTTGTGTAGGTTCTCTTTAAAAAATATAATTAATTTCGAAAAAATTTCTCTAAATGTAGCTTTACTAAGGTTGAAAACATTCAATTTGAAATATTTTCTAAATTAAAAAAAAATTTAAAATTGGATACGCGATTTTTACAAAATCAAAAGGTAAATTTAATATAAATACACTTTGATATTTGACTTTATAAATATTTAATTCTTATATTTAAAGTGCTCTAGACTTGTAATGTACATTTTATTTACACTGAAAGCCTACAACCCTTGTTGTATGCTGATTTATTAATGAAATTAAATGACAAGAGATTCTCAGAAAAATTCCGAATTCCACGAGAAAATTTTCATGATATTTGCATCAGTCTTCCCGAAGACCTAGAACCTGAGCCAAATTTCATATTAAGTAGCCATAAAAAAGAAACAGATGAAGAAAAAGTGGCTATGTGCTGGTAGGCTTTAAACAGTTGCTGTGAATATAAAGTTACAGGCAATATGTTTGGTTTCAGCAAAGGGACTGTACACAAATTTTTCCATGAAGTCCATGTTTTTCCCTGAGCAAAAACAAAAAAAATTAACGCCAATTCATATACGACTTCCAAATTCACAAAAGGCTTCGCAAATAAGCACACAATTCCGAAAAATAACTAAAATTTCTCAAATTTTGGGTGCAGTAGATGGGATGTGGAATATGCATCCCACCGTTACTGCACCTTTGGAAGGAGCAAGGGACTTTGTGAACAGAAAAAGATAGAGTTCTATTGTCTTACAAGCCGTAGTTGACCATGAATTTCCGGAGAATGTTCACGATTGCGGTAGTGTTGAGAGGCTCAAAATTGTTGAGATCTTTCTCACAAAAGGTTCTCCACGCATGGGTGGAGTCATGACTTGATAAAGTCATAACTTGATTTTCAAATTATTGAAAACACTTTCACACACTTTCTTAAATATTAACATACTCTCTTAAACTTGGGTTAATTATGTATATTTAAATTATCTACATAATGATTCACTTACACATTAACAATTTACTGTAATTTTGAAAAATGAATTAACAGTAAAATTCATTTTCCTCTCGTTATAATATGTATAAATGGTTTGAAATTCTACACATATTTTCTATTATGAAAGTAGTCACAGTGCAGCTTAGTTGATTTAAAAAAAAAGTGTTCTTTGAAATAAAATAATTATGTATAAATATTTCAAATTGAACATAAAAAGTAAATTAAGTAAATGTAATAATAATAATAGTTGTAAATGAATTAATAAATAAAAAATAAAATAATAATAAAGAACATTATAATTAAATTTGAAAATATTGTGGTTTTTTAATTAAGAACATGAAATTGTCTTCTTGTTCCGAAAAATTTTTATCGGAACACTCATACATACATCACTCTGTTTCACAGTTAATATTCACGTTAGAGTCTTCAACATCATCACAATCATATAAAATCATCCAATCAGATAATTATTTTAACTTGGACACTTGCATCATACATACACAATTTCAACTTCAATCAAACAAATTGCACATTCAACCATTCAACGATTTAACGACTTTCAACCTTTTCCGGGCGAATCCTAGTGCTTTAGAAGAAGAAACAAATGGCGACTCGGACTCTTTTAGCCCTGAGACCGAGATAAAACACGAAGTAGACTCTGTGCGCGTTTGTTTACCCCTATTTTAGTCTGCCAACCCGGCGACCTGGTTCATTCAGGTCAATTTTCGGTTCATAGAATAACCATTAGCGATACCACATACTGTCTAACTGTATCGATTCCGTAATCGATATTTTAAATAATCACCGAGTTCGCAGCCATGTGAAACTCTGAAAGAGGTCCTCATAGAAAGACATTCACTTTTGGAAATTAAAAAATTGGAGTCTCTAAAGGATCAAGAAGATATCGGTGATCATAGGCTATCCGAAGTCTCTAGGTCCATGCGGATGCTACCGGGTAGCTCATTGAATGAAAATATTATAATAAATTTATAGCTTCGTGACCTACCGCGCAACATTTACATCACCTTACTGACCGTGTGTGGTAAGGTAATGAATAAACTCACCTCTCTGTTATACCAAATCAGGCAAGCATTGGATGCAAAAATCGACCTTCGGACTTCTTGCTTTCTGCTGTAAACGGCACTCCAATACAAACTTACGGTACCAAACTATTTCAACTAAACATCGGTTTGCGCAGAAAATTTTCACACGCTTTTATCATCGCGTCAGTAGGTAAATCTATAATAGAGGCTGAATTTTTGGAACATTTCGGGCTATTGGCCGATCTTAGGAGCAGGATATTGGTAGAACCAACCACAAGCATGTCGGTTGAGGTTTCGCAGGCTAAGGCTGACGTTGTGACAACTTTGCATTACGCCGTAGATAATGAATACGGAAAAATTCTTAAAAAATATCCAACCCTTACTCAGGATTCAGATTATTCCATACCTGTGAAGAATTCGGTCGTGCATCACATTGTGACCAAGGGACAACTTCCTTAATCCTCTCCACGTAGACTTGATTCAGTGCATCATAAAACCGCTAAAAAAAGAATTCGAATATATGGGCAGCATCGGGATATGTAGACCTCCTTCATCATCCGTTTCGTCACCATTCCATATGGTTAGGAAAAAAATCGATTGGCGGCCGTGCGATGATTACCGGCGTCTGAACGCTGTCACGGTGCCAGACCCTATCCCTCACATTCCAAAATTTTCCATGAATTTATTCGGTAAGCGTATCTTTTCAACAATCGATCTTATTAGAGATCAATTCACTTGATCCCTGTTTCACGCGTAGACACGATAATTAACTTCCCGGTACCTAATTTGGTCCGCCAAATGCAATGCTTTATAGGCATGATTAACTATTACCATCGGTTCGTACCTGATCTTGCTAAATTACCTTTCCAGAAAACTCACCCCCGCCGAGCAAAAATATTCAGCGTTTGATCGCAAGCTAGTTGCAATTTATTTAGCTATAAAACATTTTCGGTATTTCGTCGAAGGACGCGAATTTTCAATACTTACCGATCAATACAAACCCTTAGTAACGGAATTTTCAATACAAACCCTTAGTAACGGCCCTTTTTACTAAAACCAAGCGAAGCCTGAGGTATGCCAGACACTTAGATTATATTTCGCAGTTCACAACTAAAATATGCCACATTCGTGGTAGTGATGCATTATCGCTCATTGTTTATCGCGAATAAATAGTTTTGATTCTTCTTCCAGCAAACTTTTGGTCGATTTTGGAAAAGCTTCCAAAGCTCAGGAGACTAACGAGGAGTTAAAAATCCTTCTTTTTGCCGTCATCAAGTTTCAGACTTCAAAAAATTTCGCTTCCTAGTTTGGACGTACATTGCGAAGTCTCTACCTCACGACATCGCCCTTACATTCCAAGTCCTCTGCGTAACAGTATTTTTGAGCACTAAGATAGTTTTTTCCCCCGGTAATTCGCGCTTCGCGTAAGCTTGCAAGGATAAGTATTTTTGGCCAAAGATGGATGTTGACGTCGCGAAATGGACTATAGCTTGTTTAGCCTTACGAAGATTTAAAATTCATCGACACGCGAAGTCAAAATTCGGGAAATTTGACCTATCTTCGGGCCAATTCGAGCATATCCATATGGATCTAGTAGGCCCTATACCGATTTCAGGTGGCAAGTCATACATCTTAACAATTGTCGATCGTTTTTCACGATGGCCTGAGGCTTACGCTATCGGGCATATGACCGCGTCGACAGTCACGGTCGCTTTCGCCGAGAATTATATTCCGCGATTCAAATCTAGAATAACCACGGACCAAGGTTCACAATTTGAATCTAAGTTATTTGCGGAACTAACGAGTTTATTCGGAATCCACAAGATCCACACAACCCCTTACTGTGGAACTGCTTTACCGATAACTTAAATCCGCATTACCTGCATGTGTAAACACGTTTTATTAGGTTCCCCGGTAGAGATGGTATCTCCGTTTACTTAGTGAGATTTTTATCGGCGAAAAACCAGATATTAACGACTGCGACACTGTCATAACGCGGCTCCGTTATGAGCACTATACGGAAACTAATTCCAGCGGAACCGAAAGAGACGGAACAGAAGGTTTTCATTCCAAAAGATTTAAATAATTCTCAACATGTTTTCGTTCGGGTTGATAAAGTAAAAACGGACTTAACACCTCCTTATGACGGACCATTCAGGGTCATTAGAAGATTTAGAAAACATTTTATGATAGATATTAACGGGCGAAATTTTTCTATTTCAATTGACCGTTTAAAGCCTGTATTTAGCATTTTGGCATTGGAATTAAATGGTCACAAAAGCTCACATCACATTAAATTTAAATAATTCTTGGAGATAGATAAATTTTTCTTACCTTTTTCATTTTTTTTACTTGCAATTTTCATTCTTCATACTAAAATTTTTATTAATTATAATAAATAACGAATCATATTGATTTTTTTTATCTCTTTTTAAATACGTTAAATCTCGGGGAAGGGTGTTGTTGAGATCCTTCTCAAAAAAGGTTCTCCACCCCTGACTTAATTTTCAAATTATTGAAAACATTTTCACACACTTTCTTAAATATTAACATACTCTCTTAAACTTGGGTTAATTATGTACATTTAAATTACCTACATAATGATTCACTTACACATTGATAATTTATTTTAAATTTGAAAAATGAATTAACAGTAAAATTCATTTTTCTCTCGTTATAATATGTATAAATGATTTGAAATTTTACACATTTTTTCTATTATGAAAGTAGTCACAGTGCAGTTAAGTTGATTTAAAAAAACCAATGGTCTTTAAAATAAAATAATTGTAAGTGTTTCAAATTGAACATAAAAAATAAATTAAGTAAATGTAATAATAATAATAGTTGTAAATGAATTAATAATTAAAAACTAAAATAACAATGAAGAACATTATAACTAAATTTAAAATTATTGCGGTTTTTTAATTAAGAACATAAAATGATCTTCTTGCCAAAATACATCTGGAAGCCATAGAACTCTTCCAGCGTCATAACGAATTGATTCCGGGGTCGAATTTTTTATCAGTAAGGTTAAAATTTTTTATTAGAGATCCTGCTTACCCTCCCTTATCTTGGATATTAAAGGATTACCCTGGAACAGTCTGTGCTAAGTGTAAATATTATTATTAAATAATAAAATAATACTTTAGTATATTTCTGTTTTGTTTACTTTTTTTGTTCTCGGGAGGATTTCCTCATCAGGCGGATGTTGTGAATTTTCTTCACATGTTAATGGAGCTGTAGGATGTTGTGAATTTTGCGAACTTTCTCCAGATGTTGATGGAGATGTAATATTATTAAGGTTTATTAAGGGCGTACGTAATTCTTCTTAACATTCAAGAGGTATCAGAAAATTTACTTACTGCTAGAATTAAAACCTTAATTTTGAATGGCAGTTGCCGGTTATTATTTTCACAAATTTGTATTTTATTTGCTCCTCGTCTCTGTGATATCCCATGAGTTTCATGTCACTAGAGATCATCTTATAAATTTCTGCTGAGCGGGTTTTTTTTTATCAAACATGTCCAGAACTAATCCAAACAAAATAACAAGAAACAACTTATTAAATTTAATCTTTTTTGAGTGAATTTTATTTACCTGCTTCATTATTGCCAAGAAGGTGGTAGTTTCGCATTTTGTCCAATTTAGCGATTTTTTCCTTTTTTCCCGCATATCCATTATGTATGCTTTTTCAAAAACTTATTTTT